CGGTCGATCGATGAAGCAACCCTTATTCTAGACCGGGTAGCGCCTCCGGATGTCCCTATTTGCTTCCTTTTTTCTCTCATATTCTGTATTTCCTTCTGCTCTGTTTCGTGACGCTTTCTTAACCGTACTTACAAATACGAGAAAATTTGAAGTGTAAAAGAGTCGGTTCGCAATGAAAACTCGACAGTGTGGCAATTGCGAGGACGGCCCTCGAGAATCGGTTCAAAGTGGCGGGGCGTGTCGTTATTACAACCGTGGTTGGTTTCACGTGGGACCGAGAAAAACGGAAAAATATTTGCTGGCGCAACGACGGTGCACAGCGTGACCGGCCGCAGAATTCCTTGCAGAAACGATTTTGTCGACTGACACGTACATCCTTGAGCGATGACTCAGCGGAATGTTCTCTCTATCGATACGTATCTCTCGGCTGAATCGCAGTAAGAATAATCCTAGGATAAAAACTATCGTCTTTAAACGCTATTAATGGATCCCAGAATGCCTAGTAGAGAACACAGCCACACTACGTCCGGCTCTTAGGCGTGCATGCGACGTGTGTACTGTACGTATACCCGTATCCTCTATACGCGGAAGCGTCGAAACAGTAAAAGGTAGGAGGCACAGGCCAGCCAACAAGGGGAGGGCACGTAAGCAGAGGAACAAAAAGAGAAAGAGAGAGACGTGACAAGACGGAGGAAGAGAGAAAGACTGAGAATGGTGTACGAGGGAGGAAAAGAGTCGGAGAAACGAAGAAAGAGATAGGGAGGACGAGCGAGGATTTCAGGCTCTCGAAACGCAGCGGTATTTGCCGCGCTTTGTCGTTCGTTTTGTACCTCGGCGTGACTCTGCCGCTGGTGCTGATTACGCAATGCGTGGCCATGAGAGGAGCGAGTCGCGTACACTCACGTACGAACGCATACATGTATTCTCGCTTTAAGGACGTGTGCGCGTCAGAAACGAGAATGTAGCCCAGCCGTGTGCGTGACACGCATACGGATACGCTGGTGCACGCACGTGCGTGAGCAACAGGCGTGCGTGTACCGCCACTGTACGTGTGTGTGCGCGTGTATGCGCGTAGATTTGATTAGCTTTCTGCTACCGGTTGCATGAGTATACGTACGCGTGCTAGAGAGCGCACGCGCGCGCTGACCGCTCAACATGGATCGTATACGACGTATCATCTCGCGGTGTCATCGATGATGGCCCACATCTCATTCTGTTTACAACATAAATCGCGATCGAGTACGCGTGCCGCGAAACGTTCTCTTCGTGCAACGCGCACTCGAATTCTCTTTGCGCTAGCTTCTATACTGTCTGCGGCTCCACGATTCTTTCCGTCATCGTTGCCGTCACGGTCGCAAAGGTATTCTTCTCCATCAATCGCGAAAACCTTGTTGTTTTTGGGGTCAACCGCGTCGGGAGACTCGCTCGTTTCCTATAGACGCACCGTGAGTAAACGTGTGCGTGTTGCATGTGACTAGCCATAGTAGCGTGATAGCGTGCAAATGTTTTTGTGAGCATCGTTAAAACTATCTTCGTAGTAACGATGAATATACATAGTCGTGTAAGCTAGGAACAATGGGGTCGGTTACGATGACAACGTTGTTGAACTAATTGTAAGAAAGAACCCAGCGGTGACGCTACATATCGTAATATCAATGGCAGTGATCGTAACCGTTAAGGGATTCTAACGGATCGAAGTTCGTACGAGAAATGATCGAGAGGGTGGTACATATACGGTCAGATAAAACCAACAGCAGCTCGATCGTCCCCTCTACTCGTCGCTCCTCTATTATTGTGCAACCTTTCACCGATTTGTAATCGGCGTTTGTTCGAACGACGTTATCTATCGAATGCAAATGTTTTAGCAGCATAGAGATGCGCGCACATGCATGTTATACAGGCTCTCTGTCGCGCAAATCGATTCGATAGAGAAGTTGTAAATATCATTTAATCGAGTTTTATCGTCCACGTAGAACACGGTCGCACGCGTGATCGAACGAATAGTGTACGGTCGCTGGATCCCCAACGATTCGCTTTCGTGCTTCCTATTTCACGAATTTCTCGATTTCCCGTTATTAGAGCGAAACGTACGTTAATCGGCGTTCGAGACCGCTTCCACATGTTGGAACGTCATGATACACCTTCAACAAGAAGAATGATACGAAAGCATAGGAAGTAATTAATGGTTTAATTATATCGCGAGAAGTGATCATCGCTAAAGCTCGAATAGAGACACGAGCGTATTCGCCAGGCGGCCGTTGTTGATAATCTGAATAGCGTTCGAGAATCGGTGATGACGTTTCGATTGGCAATCTAGAGACTGCTTTTATATTTCGAGTCGTTAACACGGCCCTGTGTGTAGAAGCGTCAGGTTTTTTCATGTTCATTCGAAAACTGGTCGAACACGGTCCGGTGTGTCTGCGCGACTAAACAAATATGACTAAGAGTGGTGGTTCGATATTGGTTATACGTGCACCTTTCGAGGAACGCAATTGTGTACACTGTCACGGTCTTCATTTACGTCTGTTCCCCTCTCGTCTCGTTTCCTTCTCTATTAACTTTCATGTACGGTTCATTGAATACAAGTTTGCCAATCTTTCGCGTTTCGCAGCGATATCTATTTCGATTCGATCGAAAATATTCCTTTAACCCAAGTATTATCAAAAAGATGCTAATAATACCGATCGAAGAAGCAAAAGTATTTCAGTTGATTCAATAATTTTTTACGTAATCACCTAAGATAATGTCCCGGCAGAATAAACACTGATTGGTACCCCGTAGATTTTCTTTAACGATCCTTATGCATTTATTCGCGTAAACGTTATCTCTGATACAGTCTAGAGTCTAGATTATTCTGCCATCAGGGGTCAGAATTTTATTTTAGAGTAGACGGAATGTCTACACTGATTAAAACGTCATCTTTTTTTCCCCCTCTTCCTCCGCTTGTACCACATGTATGTCGTAATCGTTACGTGAAAGCGACTTCTTCTTCTTCTTATTTATTTAATTTTTAGCTCATAAGATGGAGAAAGAGAAATGAGCATATAGAAAAAGGTTCAAAAAGCGCAGGCTGATCGTTAGACGCCGATACACCGTCATATAGTCTTCGTAGTTACGTTGGTCACACTGTGAATTCCACATTTTTGCAGCCGATTTAATAAAGCGGTCGAGAGTTCGCACGATTTCATTACGTAATCCATTTATCAGGAAGTCGAGGTTGAATCGAGCGATGTCGAAAGATGAAGGAGTCGACTATCGGAACTCGCGCCACGACGTTTCAGAAATCTTCGATCGCGATCGTTTAACGTACCGCCACTGAGGTGTGTGCTGCACCATGATGACGTGCCATTCACCGTGAAAACCATTCACTCAAGGTATTAACAAGGTCGTGCAAGGTCGTGCACTGCTATCCTGCATTTATACCGAATATATAACGATACGACACAACGTTCACGATGAACATTCTATGTAGACTTCGCGTGGTTCATCGTGTACACGTGTCCATGGATATGTGTGTACGTGTACACATATATCGAGATTTGCGCGCGAAAGCAACGGAACACGGTATCGATCCGAATGCGTAGAAAATGCTATTGATTCTCTCGGCCGACCCGTCGACCTCTTCCACACGTTGTGTAGTTCCGAGGACTGAGGAGGCGGAGGCAGGACTTTTCTCTTTTCCTCTCGCTTTTATTCTCCTCCGTATCATTCGCTGAAAAAGTTGCTTCTCGTTTCTCGGATTTTTCATGCGGATATTTTTCTTGTTGCTCCATACCTATGGATCTTCAACGGTAGATATCACGTTCGGTACCTGTTATCGTTTTCGATGTGTCTTTAAATTTAATGCATTTCAACATCGAGGATTTTCTCCGCGACCAAGGTTTTATTTACTCGGTAGAAAAAGAATCTGCAGTGCAATGTAGTTTCTCATTTTGATATCAAAATTAAGAGCCAGTATGTATGTAAATAGACGGGCTTATACGAGTTCAATAATATTTACGATAATAAAATATAATATAGAGTATATAAAATGATAAGTGGATAAAACGGAATATGAAAGATATGACTATAAGATATGTAACTTCCAAGTTATAGAGGGTTCGTGAAAAACATAAATAATTTATGCTATCTGCGTTACGATTGCGCACAACGTTTTTGCGCTTCTTTTTCTTTCCCCCTTTTTTTACTTTCTTTTTCTTGTTTTCCTTCTGATCATATTGTTGACTCGCAACTCTGTACGAATATAATCTAAACTCGTCGTAGAAATGATCTGAAGGTATCGAGAGTCAACGGTTTATCTCCTTTTCGATAAATGGCACCAATCGGCTGATCTGTTTCTTTTGATCGTGGGCGACGGTTGAATTGGCGACCTGTTCGGCTATTTCTAGCCTTTTCCCTGGTGGCAGATTACGAATTCCGCCCTTCGACTAACCGAGGAAAGTCATTTCTGCCGCATCTCTGCGGTCTTGGCGAAACAAACGTTGCGTACGTGACCGTGATTGGGCTGGTGAAGGGGTGAGGAGAGAATTACATAAAAGGCACGAACGAAGCGAGTCGCCTATTCGCCCAACCTACGTCCTCCAGGGTCGTACACCCACGTTCATACTTCGTGCGTATCGTCTCGCAAGCTTATATGGACGATTATGCATGCAGGCGTTATCGTATATATACGTGGAACGTTTAGAGGACTCGTCCAGGATCGTACATGATTTTCAAGAAATTTTCCATGTGTAGGAATTCTGTCGAGCCACGGTTATCTCCTAGCATTTCCGCACGCGTTGATCGCGAGAACGAATTAGTAATATATATAGTGATTCATATTGAGATGAATCATTTACGTCGAAGCAAGTTCGACTATCGTGCAAGTAATTGAACACCATTTTGTATAATAAATCTCGTATTAATTATATGAATGTGTAGATGCGTGAAATAATTTTATTTAAAGAAAATAAAGATTTTTAGTTAATTGTTAAATAAACGTTTCGTTTTTGTTGACGCAGATCATGTGAAGGAAGGATATGATAAACTGTGGCCGATGAAGAGAAGAGCACGAGCAAGAGTACGAGCAGGAGCACGAGCAAGAGCAAGCGGCTTCGTCGAGGAAGGCGAGAAGAAGCGACGACGAGGCGGCAGCAGCAATACCAATAAAAAGATCAACACTAGATCTGATGTTAGCGGACATTAACGGTAACTTGGCGGATCTGAGAAGTGAAGCGATGGCGTCGCAGAGATTTTGTCTGCGCTGGAATAATCATCAAAGTAATCTACTCTCCGTTTTCGATCAACTACTCCATGACGAGTCGTTCGTCGATGTTACGCTGGCCGTCGAGGGTCAGTTACTCAGGGCACATAAGATGGTGCTGTCGGCGTGTAGTCCCTATTTTCAGGTAAGGACAAGTCTCATCCAGAGAGAACAATGCATCGTCAAACCGGAGATCCTGGGGGAAACGTATGCTTTCTTTTTGAAGTCCAATGAATCGCGTTCTAGAACATTATTAATAATTCATCACGGTAGATTAATTCATGACGCGTATTAATAATTCATAACGTTTTCTTACTCGACCCTCTTGCCGAATCTATACCGACCGAGTATTTTTTTCTTACTATCTTTGCAGGCCCTTTTCGTCGGACACCCCGACAAGCACCCGATAGTCATTCTTAAAGATGTCCCCTACGTGGATATGCGCAGTCTTTTGGATTTCATGTATCGTGGGGAGGTCAGCGTCGACCAGGATAGGCTAACCGCTTTCTTGAGAGTCGCTGAGTCTCTTAGGATAAAGGGCCTGACCGAGGTAAACGAGGACAAGTGTGACTTGCCTAGTATTACCTCTTCGTTGCTTGGCAATCAAAACACAGTACCTCCACCACCACCGAATCTACATAGAATAAACCAAATCGGGCCTCACCACCACGTCTCGCAGAAGAGGATGCACCATATGTCGAGCCATCCTCTCCTTGGTTCGGCCTTATCCGCGCCAAAGAGAAAAAGGGGCAGACCGAGGAAGCTCAGCGGTTCTTCCGATACGCCGATCGGCGAGATCACGGGCCAGGAGCTGCAGTCATGTTCGGGGACAGATCTCGTACAAGGTTCGCCAGAAATGATGGAAATGAAGATGAGTATCGACTTTCAGAGCGAAAGCACCGGTAATAATGGTAGAGGCGGAAACTCCAGTACTGCTTCGGCGAGTAGTAACAACGTGAACAGCAATAACGTCGGGAACTCGGCATCATCGGGAGCCAGTCTGGCTGCTTCCTCTTTGTCGTCGACGAGGAAGGACGAACCAACGGAAAATGGTACTGACACACCCGAATCACTAACATCTCGTGTTAAACGGGAACCTGAACCGACGCCTAGCACCTCTGCCCAAGGTAAAGCACTTTCTCCTTTTTATCTTAAATAAATGTGTTTATTTGTTTTTCTCATTCGTGAAAATTTGCTTGATTGTCAATAATCTGACTAGTTCTTGTTTATCTGTTAGCCTCCGATGAGACGTTCGCGCGGCCACACAGTAGGCAAGGGAACGAAGGTTTCAAGCAAGGTAAGGAATTCCATTATCAGCTTACATGATTAACGCAACTTTTTAATCACCATTTATGTCGTGAATAATCGAAGTAACACGATGTCATTACATATTTTAAAACATTGTTTGGTACAAGTACACTAGCTTGAACAAATTTAATCTTTAATCAATGGATAGTAGTATCAACTGATTTAGCTCTGTTCCTAAGTTCAAAAATTAAGAATTACGGGTGGTACGTATATCGGGTGGAAACGATATAGCGCGATCGTGAATTAAAGTTTTAAGAAGCGATATCTATCGATGTAACCGCACCCACGAACGTACGTGTTTTTTTTTTTGCAGTGTCAATATGATTTATACTTTTGAAAAAAAAATAGAAAGATACGAAAGATACAAAATTGGCATTGTACGGTTTTAAAAGGGATCCCATACTCTTACCTTTTCACAACTATTTGAAATTACATGTTTCGGTGCACATAACCTGTAAACTTAGCTTCTCGGTAAATTAACGACAACATTGTGTCGTTTCCATCTAATATACGCACCAACTATGCCTATCACTGAAATTAAAAGATAAGACTCTGTTATCGAGTATCTGTGAATTGATTTTAGAATTCCAAATAATATTTATTAACTTGAGAACAGGATACTCTAAATGCACTCAGGATAACTATTAAGTAATTGAATGTATATTACATTATTGATATGTAAGCGGTGTAAACGTTCCCAATCATTTTTTATTAATGGAAAAAGAGGATATCGTGCCTATTTGGCAAACGTAGGTTTTTATCAATATTTAAATAACTCATTTTTTGCTCCATTTGAATTACACCGAATTAAATTTAACTTCCTGATACAATTCGATGTTGACCAACAGTGATTACACACAAATATTCCGTTTGCAATCTTTTCCAGGTGATATTGTATTCTTACCCTTAACAAATATTCTTACGTATTTACCTATCATTTGTTTTATCAAAATTATTACAATCATCTTGACAAATTTGAGTGATGAATATGCAAATGAAAATATTACAAAACACTGCTGTACGATGTGCTAATCAATTTAATTTTTCAGAATTTTCATCTGTTAATTTTATACCTTGCTCGTCGTTGCGCGACTGCAAACTAATTACGAATCGCAGTATCGCAGCAATATTTCCGGGGAGGCTATTTTTGGTCGTAGACTCAAGTACACTAAAAAAATAATAATGAATAAAAAAAAAATAAGAAAGAATATTGAGACTCGAGCCGATGAATTTGTTGACGAGTGCAATTCGTTAAGATGTTAACTCGAGGATACTGCCTGAGCTAGCATCCTTACATGGAATTAAGGTCAACAAATCTCGCTGAGTATTGAAAAAAGTATTTGTGATTTGTATCCGGAGAAGGTGAATAGGCTCCCAGGAGTTTATGCGTGTCACGGGTTTCACGCGGTCTGTTAAAAATATCAGAAAAAAAGAAAAAAGCAATACTACTACTAATGATAATAACCGTTTCCTTTTTCCGTGCAATCTGAAACGAATTTTTCGGCAGTGTTAAGCCACGTAGGCGAAACATATCGAAACACGATGCGCACAAAGTTTAACGGGCTTTCGAAAACGAGACCACTACTTAAGTCACGCGTTGACCTGTGACAACTCGAAATAGAAAAAAAAATCTCGAAAAAATATGTATACATATGCGTGCCATGTGTATATATATATACATACATATACATATATTTACGAAAAAAGAAACAAAGTGTATGAGAGAGAAAGGAAGCCGTCGTCTCGTTGAGCCCATACAGGCGTTTGTGTATGCTCCTCTGAAACGACGAGACGTTCGAGCGGAATCAAAAAAACGTGCCAACAAACACACAAGATATATATTCCCTTTTGAATGCTGTAGCCTCCAAAAATCTAACCTACCACCCACCGATTGTCGTTAAGGGACATAATATAAAATATACATACCCATTGTAATTTATGCTCGGCCAATGCGCAGCGCTTCGTTCCTTCTTCTTTACGCTCGTTCTCCTCACTCGTTTCTCTAATCTAGACTTATATATTTATATATACATTTCTATTTACTGCCACTTTTACTTACCTTTTTCGATCCCATTTCACATATTGCGCGCACGCACAGATACACACACACACAGACACACAAACACACGCGCGCGCGCGCGCGCGTGCGTGTATACAATATGTATATATTGTTATACGTATACATGTGCAACATATAAATATATACACATGTACATGTTATTATATATATGATTTTATAATCCCCGCACGCGAATGAGAAACGCTTCGCTGTCATTGGCCATTTGGTAAAAGGAGGGGGTGGAGCCAGCTTTTAGCGGTGCTTACTTTTTTCTGATTTTTATTTGAAACGCTGGTTTACTTTTTTTCACGTTCGTTCATTGTAAGAAAGTTGAACGCAATTTATGTTTGCGCCGAAGTGACGGACCGTGGTGAAATGGATAGATGTCATTACAACGAAAAAAAGAAGTGTGCGTAGCTCTTTTTAACAGACAACGAACGTCGGCAGGTTATCGCTTCCGCCTTCTCTTGCGTTCTTCTCGTTGCCTAATTGAGTTTTCACGACGGAGGAATGAAACACGGAGAAACAGAAATTTGGGGAAAAGTCCGAAACATGAAAACGAAACGGGAAGGAGAAAACAGATGAAAATATACGACAGGACGGAAAGAAATGGACAAACAAATGTAGTGACGGAAAAGAAAGAGCGAATGATGAGAGAGAAAGAGAGAGAGAGAGAAAGAGAGAGCGAGAGATCAATATAAAAAGAAATTGGTATCGAGAGTGTGACGTACATTCTTTTCCATATGATGTTCGAGAAAGAGAGAGAAAGAAAAGAAAAGAAATTACTTTACTGACGTACGCACGCACGCGCACACATGACAGAGTGCTTCGAAGATGTCGAACATGATGATCGTTCGGTAGTGACCGTGAAACGTGTTGCTTTGTTCTCTTTGCGCAGGTGAGTTGAGATTATCTGAGTCACCATTTGATCTCTGAGAGATTACCTTTGCGCGGGGGAAGCGAGGGAACTAGGGGAGGCCAGCCGCTCAAAAAAATACAAAAAAATATATAACATAAAATAAAACAAAACAAAAAAAAAATAATAAAATGAAACCGTTCCGAAATGCCAGAATCTAAATAAGAGAAAGTCGAATAAAAGAATCTGATGTAAAGTGAAGCCGAAAGCGGATTAAGTATAACAATATATAATTGCATCGAAGAAGAGAAAACGTTGCTTCTTCTCGAGCGTCCTCGATCTCGATGGATCGTCTTCCCGTAGAGAATGGATAATATGCGTATACGGTTTAGACTGACGGGACGCACGGACTATTTAAAACGTAAAGTTAATAGGGAGGGGGTCTTTTTCGAGTGTACATGATGATGATGTTTATTAACATTCGCATATACGTGCATTCTGCACGCGTATGTGTAAGCGTTCGTCTCTGACTGAGTGATATGTTGCGCGTGTTGCGTGTATACATGTATTTGCATACATTCCGTAGCAATAGATACGAGAGCGAGTCCAGGTGAACGGGAGGAAAAATACGAGCTAAATGGTGTAAGACTGCAAACGCGAGAGGGTGGAATGTAAGTGTGCGTGACAGACGAGGAAGAAAGGGTGCGTGAGAGCACGCGCGCCTGTGTGTGTGTGTGCATGTGTGTATGCGCGCGCGCGCGCGTGTGTGTGTGAGACGCATGGGAGGGGAGAAAGAATCATACGCGCGCGCGCGTGTGTATGAAAAAAGATTGTACGTACGTGTGATCGCGAGAATGTCTGAGCGCGTGTATGGTGCATATTTATTTGGAAGAAAGAAAGAAAGAAAGAGAGAGCCATCGTTGAGTCGCTGAAATGCTCTTCATGGTATGGCAAACGAGACCGTAACGGTCCTCTTCGCAGCCAGCCGGTACGGGATCGAGGCAAAGCCGCGATCAACAGTGAGCAGTAGCGAAAGCGTGCGTGAGAGCGAAAGAATCTGAAGAGGGAATGACGACGAACAGGGGTGGGGACACGGAAAAGCGGGTGCGGCATAAAACACTTAACATGGGACAGAGTTGACGGACAGCCGGTTCGAATACGGTGACTCTTTTTTGCTGGCTCTACCCTTCCTCTTGCTTCCCCCCACAAATATAGAAATACGTTATTATATCAGTACATTATTATACACTATTATATATTACTAGAAATATGTGATAATTTATACCTAATGCATCGATATACTTAAGTTCGAATGATGTTATTATAACATTGATATATATATACATATACATACGTACGTATGTATGTATGTATATATGTATGTATATATATATGTATATATATATATATATATATTATACGATACAAAGGTGTAGGCGTCGAGAACTGTTTAAAGAAGAAAGTTTTCTTCGTTTCAGACCCGGAGGAGACGTCGAGTGGCGGTGGCTCGCAGTCACCGACTCATATACGCATCAACTTCGAGCGATGCTTTCGTAAGGAGTACAGCACGTCTCTTCAAGGAAAAACATCGTCAACGGCAATTATGGCGTCCATGGATGACTCGCAGCAATATTCCGATTCCGAATCGGAGCAAAAGGTGTCGAAAGACAATTTGAGCAGTGCCATATTTAATCTGGTCGCCGGTGAATCGGAGATCAGTCAAAGCGACTTCGAAGGATCGTTTAAGGTCGAAAACGAGAGAACGGAGGGTTCGGTACGGGACTTCTGCGTGAAAGAGGGCGACGTATACCGGTGCACTGTATGCAATCGTACCTACACACACATCAGTAATTTCTGCCGGCACTACGTCACCTCACACAAGCGTAACGTCAAGTACTTTGCTTGTCCGGTTTGTTATAAGGAATTCACGCGGAAAGATAACATGGTCGCCCACGTTAAGATCATACATAGCCTTAAGTCGCACATGGCTCTTAGCAGCAGTGGCAGCAGTAGTATGGGTCAGCAGCGGTAGACCGCTGTCGGTGCGTCCTCTCTTCTCAGGCTACGTTCCTTGGCTCTTTCCCTTCGTTCTGTCTCTTGAGAAAGAATCCAAATTACCGTTACGATGCTCCTCCTACGTTTCCGGAGGTGCTCTTAACGGCCAAGTATCACTTCGCGTCGTGCAATCGTCGATAAATCGTTGAACAAATCGTTGATCGATTTCTTCGTCGTCGTGGTAAGGGTCAGGGGACGTTACGCAAGGAAGAGGCAGCAAACGAAAAAAATCGCGTGAAAAGCTCAAGAGCGATGCGAGCGTACGTGTCAGTGGCTTTCCGGATAAACCCATAGCTGTAAAAGAAAGAAAAGAAAAGGTCGCAGTGTTTCGAACGGACAAAGAGAGAACAAGTAGTAGTAGTTAGATTAGTCTCGTAGTTAATAAAATACAATCGAGGATTGGTTTTTGAAGACAACGCTAGTAGGACGAATCAAGAAAGGACGATATGGGGGTAAACGGATAGTCAATCGAATATACAAATTTTAAACATCCGATGATCATCGTCATTGATACGTAGATAGTTGTACATCTGTTTCCTTTATACAATTAACGAACGTTTGATAAACAACAAACAGGCAGAACAAACAACTAAATCCGAAGACGTTGTTTCCGCCAATATGGGGAAATTGAATCGTAGACCATGTGTCTGCTGCAGCTCAAAACAGTTTCTCCTTTTTCAATGTATCAACGTGAAACGAAAGAAACTGGACTTTTAACAAATGGATATATGATATTAATCATAGCAGCTAGTAAAGTCAAATACAGTCGAACGGAGTACCTTTTGTGTCCGGTTACTTTATTAAACGTGATATAATTCGTGCTATATCGGATCCTATAACTACTGGTTTTCTCTTGATTCGTTCGAAAGTTCGCTCTTTCGGACAAAATCGGCGGGTGTATCTCAGCCTATTTCGTAAACCGAAAGCTCCCTTTCTCGAAAAATGATTTTCGTGCGCGTAACACGAAACGGGCATTAAGTTACAAACGAAACGAGCTTTACCGCGTCGCTTCCCTTCAAGGGAATCGCGGATGTTATACAAATAAAAAGAAAAAAAGAAGGAGGAACGTAAGAAAGAGAGATATGCGCATACAAAGAGTTTATATATGATTGAACCGGTGTACTCGTTTGGTCGTCTTAACGTAGTTGTACGACAACGAGGATCAGTTATGAAACAAAGAGGAGAAAAAAGTAAGCAAGATAATTGCAAAAGAAACGTGAGTCCAAATCAACAAAGAGTATATTTACTATTGTGTGACTATAATATTACGGAGAGAATCAAACGTGTTGCATGTAGCATCGAAAATATGCATACGTTTATTGAAGTAAAACGGCGGTACATGCACACACAATATAAATAAGGGAACCACGTAGACTGAGTAAATGCAATATATATGTACGATGACCGTTCGCCATGTTGTTGAGCCGTTGAGCTGTTGTCAAGCTGTCGAGCCTGATTCGAAGTTATATAGTAGCGTAATAGGGAGCCAAGGTGGAAAGAAGTCCGCGGTTAGGGCAGGCAAGGATGGAGATAGTTAATGGGGAAATTAACGGAACGGGACATGCAATTCTTGAAAGACTGCAGAGGGACGGTTTTAACGACACCAAATACAAGATAGTACTGACATTGGATAGACTGAAGGCACTTTAGTAGTAACTTAACGCCATATCGTACTGTACCGTACTCTATTGAACAAAACATTTGTGCTTAGCCAGTACAACTGGACACAGTTTTACTACTATATATTCTATATATTCTGTATATTATATATATTATATTAGAAAACATGGATTTTATCGTTATCCAAAAAATGATACGTTCGTTTATTTCCTGTTTAACTTGAAATGAATCGTGGGTAAAATATCTATATATATATATTGTTCCCAAGAGCAAAAATATGCCATTAAAACGACTATTAAATTTGTTACATAAATTCATAATCAACTAAAGCTAATCGTTATAACGTAGATTCTCTTTTTGTAAATATTAAATTCTAAATAACGTGAGACAAGGATGTGTGTGTGTCCAGGGTCATAGAAATTATCGTTGTTAAAAATATATCCTTGTCTTACTTGTTACGAGTTTTACGCAGTTTATCCGAAGCATAATTTTATGTATAATTTAATTCAGAAAGACCATGCTTAGAAAAGAAAAAAGGATACAGAGTTCTTTGTGAGTTCTTTTAGTCTTAAAGACTATAGCGTGCACGCGCAAACGGTCGAGTCGATTATCGATTACTGTTCAAAAGGGATACGGCTACAGTGATGGTACATAGGCTTAGTCGTGAGAGACAGCACTAAAATACGATTGTAGCTTACTATATTTTGCACTTTACACTTTGTCGAATCCTCTCTAGTCGGACCTTCGTTCATAGATCGATTGTTATGATTATGAACGACACGCATGAATCGGAGAGGAAGCGAAACGATTTATATACAAATTTTTTCACTAGTTGGGCATAGACATTAGACGACTAGAGGCTATATAATAATAATTATAAATATTATTACTGCTACTATTAATTAATTATAATCGTAACGGAGACCTTCGTTGTTATTTTAAATGCGTGGGATTTCAAGGTGAAAAGAAAAATGAAAGAAGAAGAGACAGGACACAACATGATTTATACGATCTTGTGTCCGATATCGCCCACGATTGACCAGTGTTGTTCGTTCGTTATTCAAGAGATATCTAGCGTTGCAAAGATAAAAAAATTTTAGTTGTAAGAAATACGGAGCGATCGGAAGATCGATCGCCTCCGGATGCAATTACGCGTACTTTTAGGAAGATAGAATGATATATTATTAGTTAGGCAGGCAGCAATGATTAGACGAGTAGGTAAAGTAAAGCAAAAAAAATAATAAGGAACGATAGAAAGAGAAACAAACTAAAAGCATATACGGATGTTTTAATATTTCTGATCGTAATGGACCGTGCCGCTGACTCGCAAAATCGATGTGCTCTCAGGTCAATTATCTTCAAAATTTTTAACTTTCATGGACCAAAGAGTATCCACCATTCCGCGTCGGTGGATTATTTTCGGCGGGGAGAAAAGATGTGTGTGTGTGTGTATTCTTTTGTTTTAGTTTATCCTATTTTAGCTTGTGTTTTTTTTTTGTTTGACGTACAGAAAGAAAATTTTAAGGACGAGAGACAGTTGCAGGCCGGTCTTGGTGAAATTGTTGTGTTCGCGATGGGTTAACGCAAAGCCCGTCCAAAAAAAAAAAAAAAAAAAAGGAAGAAAATATGAAAACAAATTGCGGAAAGAGGGTATAAACTGATAGTTGAATATAAATATTATATATTAAACAAAAATAAGTGCAAAGAGGCAGCGGCTAAAACAGCTTATATCGATTTAAAATGGAAAAAAATAATAATTAAAGTAATACACTCACATTTGATAATCACTGAGAGGCTAAGACTAACTCAATTTTAGATGGCAGGTAAAGAGGACGATTTATAGAAGCGGAATAAAGCGTGTCGATATGAAATGGAAAGTACAGTGTAACAGAGCTCTCGGATCGCCTAAAGCAAAATCAATTGCCAAATTGTAACGAACGACAATTCAATCATTTCGATACTAGGCTCACGATCAATTTCTCACTTTTTTAACAATAGACCAGGAAAATAGATCCACGTGCTTGTTTCTTTTAAACGGGGGGCTTTCCGTGATAGCTCGTTTGGGATATCCAATTTTATTCGTCCGTACGAAAAGGAGCGTTAGTTTACCCTAGTCGACTTTTGCGTGAGAAATCGCTTGGAAGACCTGAAACTCTTGGTGATCCTTGTTGACCACATGTTTGTTTTTTCTTTAAATTTTATTTCTCGCATAATATATTATTCTGTTAAATATCTTATTTGTCGTCGTCGTCGTCGTTGTCGTCGTCGTCATTGTACAAGAAAACAAAGATCCGCAAATGTTTCTATCCGCCGTTAAACTTTAGAAAGACAGTTGCAGAGCATTTGGCAAAGAAGCAAAAAAAGAACATTTGTAACGACGCGTATGCGAATCAAGTTGTTATCTCTGCTTACATCGAATTCCTTAATGGTATCTTAAGGCTCGTGATCAGGGTAAACTGATACCTAATAAAATTGTTGAAATTTAGCAACTGATCTTGAAGCTTGCTACGAAAATTTATCGTACAACATTCGCTCACGTTCGTTGCCTTTAAATGTTGTTAATCTTTAGAATTAAGGTTGTAAAAAAGGGGAAATTCATGTTGCCAATCAGTAAAACTTAGTAGAAGCTTGCGAGGAGTGTTTTTAAGGATTAAGGATTATAATGATACGAAATCCTTATATTCGTACAAAATTAGTGTTCAAGCTGTAAAAAGTGTTCATAGCGGAAGAAATAAACACTTTGAAGTGTTATGAGGAATTGTTTGTAAGGGGGTACCTTGTACTTGTACTACGCATTACATAAAAAATGATTAAAAATTAATTTCAACTAACGTTGTAGTGAAAAGAGAAAAAGGAAGAATCGGCCGAGTTAAAATTTTCTACGAAAATCTGCAACTGTTTTGCCTTCGTTTAAGTGAATTTTACTGGAAGCAGAAGCGAATTTCTCACGCCAATCGCGGTTAGGATCACAGAGGTCTCGTTGATGAATTTCGTGTTGAACATATTTTAATTAATTTATAAGTCTACGGACATTGCGGGTGGGTTACGGGGGAAAGAATATGAAAAACAAGAAAAATTTTACATAGATTATATTATATTTATATATGGTTCTTGCAATGGCGACACGCCAATAATCATCGTTCCCTTTTATTCGTCCCTTATTTCGAAAGCGGACCACCAGTCAATACCGATTATTCTAAGTTTCTTTTTCACGTGTTATCGGCATCAGCCGCTCTTGCAAGAAACCAACGCGAAAGAGTAACAGAGAGGAAGAAAGAGAGAGAGAGAGAGAGAGAGAGAAAGAGAGAAAGAGAGAGAGGTAAATTACGAGGCTTAAAAAGCAGACTGTACTATCGGATAGATTTTAATATATATATATTAAATATAAATATATATATATACATAAACATATATATATATATTAAAAAAGAAAAGAATCATAGTTTATTATCGCAAATAAATTACACGCATATGTACACAAACACGTATACAGAGAGAAACACATATACAAAGTATGCGGCAAGCGTAAAGATGGTACATATATATATATATATACATATTATTATTATTATTGCGATTATTATTATTAATATTATTATTACGATTATTATCATTATTATTATTATTATATTATATATATATTTATATATATATTTATATATATATTTATATATATAAACAAAAGTTATATCGAATATATTTTAGCGCTAGTTGATAATACCTATTAACGTCGTTGCAGTTTTTGAAATGATGCGTCAGAAAATGAGAGTAAAAAAAAAGAAAGAAGCAAAGGAGGTATGTGGTTGACTTTTAACTTTATATATTATACGTTGAATTAACGTACTTCAGTGGGATCCAATAATATGTAGCGGTGTAATCCCCGATTTGGTGCCTTTTTAAGCGACATAAATAATGACGATGAAGAAAAGAAAAGTAAAAAAATGAAGTAATAATAATAAATTGTTATCGACGCCCGCGATCTTAGGCGCGCGCGTGCGCGTGTGTGTATATCCCTTTTTTTAAAAAGCGCGCCCGATGATCGCAATCTAGTGCCAAATAAGTGAGACCTTGTCGTGAAATGAGCGTAAAAGAGTAATAAAGGGAAAATAAAAAAAAAAAAAAATAAAGAAACAAGAAAAAATTTTATAGGGAACTTTTTAGAGAAGACGAGTCTTTTCTGACGCTGGGTAGACTTAGTATATTTTATATGCACTGATTGTTTGATTATGACTATCGATAATAAAAAGAACGGTGTTCAATAGATTGTAATTGAAGGATTTTTAAGTCTCGCTGTACCGACTTTTGTCTCATACATTCACGTCTCCGTTGTTGCGCGCGCAATGCATACTCACGTTTTACATGCACTTTTAATCGTGCGTGCCTGGTCGATTTTACGAGATGCGCTGATAGAAATCTGAACGGATAGCTTTTACTTAAGGATCAATGAAAAACCGAAAACGTAACATCAGCGTTATCGTTCGAAAAGAATATTTAGCGGGCATCTCGAAAAATCGTTTAGTGTATCCAACGTACAAACTAGCGCATCGAAGGAAACAATAAGACACTGTGTTAAATGAATGAAAGAGGAAAGAAAGTTGTTTATTGTCCAACAGTTTTTTTTTTAAAGTTAGCGACTCTTATTGTTTAAACTTCTTTGAAAATCGATCATATTGTTTCTCCTTGTGATAACATGTGCGTAGAAGCCCGATATTTTATCTTTATCAGCGCGTAAGTCAAGCGAGTTTCTTGTATGAAGCTTCATCCATTAACTGCAATAACACCTTTAGTAAATTTCAGCTGTTACGTCACTTTTAATTTTATGTTATACATTTACCAATATTGTTTTCTTCCGTTACAACTTTTTACAAAGAAATCGACGTTCTGCGTCGTATTTTCTTATTTTTTTAAATAGTTTCCACGCGTTACGATAAAAAAGAAAAAGAATGGGGAAAAAGAAGTGATTGAAAAACTAGCGAATAAGCGTACTAAACTAGCGTACGTTGAAATATTTTGTTACCAATGGTTTATTCCGAAACGGAAAGGAAAAGGAAACAATGATCGAAGAGGTTGTCGTGCGAATTGTGTGTTGTAATGGAAATCGACCATAAATTAATGAGCTGGATCGTCTGTCTAGTATATGTATACGTATATACATGCTTGTCAAGGAAAGTAGCAGACTAATTGAAATTCGAAAAAGAAGGTAATTACTATAACGACTAACAGCGCAATGCTACACGCAGTAGAACTTTATTTTACTTCCTTTCGTTACGTTTTTCGTTGTTTTTCCGTTATGATATGCGTTATTATTGTCGCACGTATGTGGAACGTGAGTGTAAGTAGGCTCAGAGACTCGTGATCATTCATTAATCGTTTACATACAAATCTCTACTGTCCCGCGTAGTTGGAGGATATTTTCAAAGCGACGCATCATCATCAAAGTGCCATAATTTATTTCAAAACAAAGGATTTGTCACACGCGATTAATTCGCCACGAGTTGTCTACAACCGTTCTCTGTCTTCTTCTTTTTCTTGTCTTTTTGGAATGAAAATTTTCTCTTTCTTCGTTTGTTTATATTTTCTTGTTTTTTTTTCTAATTACCCTTTGTTTCTAATCTTGTTACTACGTTCCACAGCCGTGTTCTTACGTAGAGATTTCTCGTTAGTCACTTGAAACAGAAATCATATCGTCCCTTTGTATATCTCGATATGTTCACACATACACCAAATTCAAGAATTCCCGCATTCACTACGAAGCACCGTTACTCTTAGCCAAAAATTACTTTTATTTAGTTTCGTTTTAGTGATTGTGGATGCATCTGGTTGGTCGATAGCGATCGTTGTCTCGCCGTTGACGATTATCCATCAAAAGACACGCTGCCAATAAAATCATTGAAATGGCTCTCGTTAACGAATTACCATTCAATTTTTTATAGAATCGTCAACACAATCGGCGAGAAACGATTGTCAGAACCGATCGGACGATCTTTAGATATTAAGATTCCTACGTTGTGTGTGGCTTACTCGAATAAAAGCGAACGTTTCTTATTTGAAAATAACAGAAATTCGACCGATTTGCTCGCACGTTCGAATATAGAGCAGTCATCAGTGTTGAAAATAAAAAGAGAAAACAATCGACGTTCCAACTGCTTGAGAAGCCAATCACGATAGGAAATCAGCGATTATTATTTTTTATGGACTTTTGTTTTGCATGTTGCGTACGCGTATTGTTGATTTATTATTTTTACTGTCCGGACAATGAAGCAAAGTGAAATATTTGGAGATCAAGAAAAAAGATAAATATATATATGTACATGGTTTTTTTCGTTGCATTTAACTTCTGATTTTTATAAGTCCGCTGGCTGTTAAACTCTTTATTTTTTGTTTTCTTCTCATTATCTCAACGTTTTCGTTGCGAGAAACGATTTATAACAATTTTACGCTGATAATGTTCATTTTGATCGTTATGTAGAAGTTGAAAGACTATTTTTTGTTCTATTTCTTACTTATTAGCTTGCTTCTAATAAAACATTGCAAGATGTTTAAGCGAGTAAAGGACAAAGTCTTTCACATAATTTAGTCGCAATGCCGGAACTGGTGTCGTTTCTCGCATCGATCGAATTCTCGATACAAAGTACGACGTAGAGACCATTTTGCACGACAGATTCACGACTCTACGACGTGTATCTATCTTCTCCGCGAAATCACCCGACGTTTTCGATTTGGAAACTTTCCAGTGCATCTTGGGATGTGCATATTGGGATGTGCCAAAATTACTGATGCTTAAAAAGGGAGAAAAGCATCGGGTGAATTCTTTCTTAGTTATCATTGCCATTATGTTCCCTTTGCTTACCTTTCCCCTTTTTTAAGTTGATACACGATCGTGAAGAATTTTCAGCGTGGAATCGATCCGTCATTCTGTATATTACGAGTACACAAAGTACGCAATGAAGGCCCGATTTTTGCCTGACAACTTGTTAAAAAAAAAAGAAAAGAAAATGGTACGACTATACTTTGTTTTGGTTTTGTTTGATCAATGCGAAATTTTTATTTTCATCGATATCCAAAATTCCCGATTCCCTCGTATTATTTATTGGTACTTTATTAAGTAGATTATTGTTCGTTCTTTTATATTATAATTTTATTTTCAGGTGTTATTTAGATTTTATTTGTATTACTTTATACAGAATCATTTATATGCCATGTTGATTTCACATCGAGCTATAAATTCCCTTTACGACTCGCAGTAGCCTCTCGTATCTCTGTTCTGCACGCATCAGAGTATACAATCATACATCGGTATCATTAAATATTTATTTTCAGTACGAATTAGATCGCAGTTGCATGCAATTTACACAGCCTTTACCGTAGCCAGAGAGCGAATCATGTTTTAGAAAGTCTCTTTGATAATGCTCATTGTCGTAATTGTTGTAACCATGATCGTTACTTATTCTCGATAAGAATCAGTCTCTTTACTAACTCGAATCTTTTCACAGAGTTTTCATCGGGGAACACGAAATCGGATGGCGAGACGTGGAAAGAGAAAGGTCGAAATTCCGGATCAGGATCTTCGGCGAATCAATCGAGCACG